GTATTTACATGTTTGAGTAATTCTAGTGTCTGATTTCTCACAAGGTCATGTTGACCTTGGTACTCAGCTAAGAGTTAGCTTCCAGAAGAGCGCGTAGTACAGGTTGTGTTCCAAGACTAAGTGTATTTTTAACCGTGGGTAGTATTTTTCACTCATTTCCTTGGTGTCTCTGCCCTGCTTTAAATAACACATGAACCCAAACAGAATTTACTGTAGGATGTGTCTACGTGACCCTGTTGGAAAAGCAAAATGGTGCTACTCCACAGCAACAGTGTCAGAAAACAGAGGCTTAAGCTACTCTAGATAACAGGTTATAGGGGACGGGTAGGTAATTTGAAACAGAGCTGCTAAAGTTTACCGCATATAAGTTATAGTCTGGGCCTACTTTTGTGGTGGAGAAGGTGTTTATATCTCATGCCAGAGTTTAAAGCAGTTATAGCTGTGAAATTCTGGGAAGAACTTTATCTTTGCCACTCCTTGGTTTGAAGTCTCCCTGTGGATTCCTTATCCCTTTTGTGGGATGTTCTGTCGCCAGCAACTTCAAGAAACTTTGTCAGACTCCTTTAGTCATTATAACAGGATAAAGCATGGAGAAGATCAGGCAAATAAAGGGATAAATGGCAGGGGTCAGCCAAGTCACTGAGCAGCCACTGGGGGTTCATGAGAAACAAATGTACGATATGCTAGATATCATTAGCATGCTAGTGACATTCTTTTGCACATATATAACATGCTTTAAAACAGCAAATAGTCTAAAGGTAATTTGTAAACTACAGTTTACATTCTACAGTTCACTATAGCAGGTTCAGTTTTTTTTTCTATCAAACTCCTAATACTATTGTGAAGAATTCGCAGAATTGTGGTAAATTAGGAATTCATTTTCTGTAACTATTGTTCTGGGGTCTGCTGCAAAATGTCCATATCTAGTTTTAGAGACAAGTTTGGAATTAAAGTATCTTTCCTCGTGAAATAAGTGTAGATGCTGGCTGAAATACTTTCAGTGACTTTGCTTATCTGAAGTCAGTTGACGCCTGCATGACAACACAACATTAACAGCACAGGTGCAGTGCGAGTATCATGAGAAGGCAACACGTTTGCCTCTTCGTTTGCTCTGAAGGTGAGAAAGGAGGGACAAAAATGACAAATTAAAGACACGCCCTCCCTCCAGCCTGGGAATGGAAAGAACTCCAGATTCTGGATTATGTCATCAGGAAGTACAACGCTGCTGACCAGGAAGTCACGTGGTTTCCGATGATTTCCAACCACTTTCCAACTTTCCGGTTTCACCCTTTCCGTCGTAGTGTGATGCTGTTAGCATGCAAAAAGGACAAAAAAAAAGTTATGACTTTGTAGTCTGCAAATAAATTTACCGGAAGGTCTGCCATGCCACCAACACTTTTTACATTTGTATCTGAATTCCTTATTTTACAAAAAACAATCAAAACAAAACTCCCTTCGGTGCCAGATGGCCTAGTGATGTCTATTGTCCTCCAGTGGCTTGCATGCCTTATATGGGTCATGAGTACCGGGGTGACACGAAACTGTCAGCCTGGAGACTGTCAGCGTTCTCCAACTCTCTGGCGTTACAGCCACAGTAAAGGCCAGATGCCTACACAGAGACCTAAAAAAGGCTTTGTTTATTTATAAACCAGGCAAAGGACGCACTCCCGAAACCTCGAAACTTGCAGGGAGCCTGGAACGATCGTCTCCTCACCAGCCGCCACCGTACAGTAGTAGAACCGCGCAAATGTCACGCGGTACCGTCAGATTTGGATTGCTTGTGGCCTCGGTTTGTGTGAGGAAATCGCTGTCGCCAAAAACTTGAGTTTTGGGAACAGCCGTTGACTTTGCATGAGACACAGGCTACACTTTTCATAAAAATAATCAGTTTTTCTGTGGGTTTTACTGACCAGTAGCATTGCCTATTACAGATGATCAGGTTTTCTGTGGGTTTTGTTGATGAGTAACATCACCTTTTAAAAATGGTCAGGTTTTATTATGGTTTTTTTTACTAGTAGCGTCACCCAGTGGTTTTTGTAGGGTTTCATTAGAACTGGGTGTGGGTGTGTAAGATCAGTCGTGTTTGAATCTTTTGCTCCACACACATACATTATATGACCTAAGTTATCATGGTCCAGTGGCAGTAAAATGGGGGAATGCTTCCGGATTGAGAAAAATAAGATATGGACATGTCACATGGTACACACCATTCATCAGCGGGGTTGTTTCATGCTGTTTTAAGTCACCCTTGGGCAGCTCATGTGTTTATACTCTGGAGACTTTATTATTAATTACTGTGCATTTTTAAAGTATTGGGAACAAGCCAGCCAAATTTCAGCCTTCAGCTTCCACCATAATAGAGGCTGTTTTGTCTGTAAATGCCCCAGCGTTGTTGCATGCAATTTTCAAAGCATTTTTTTTGCATAAGGGGTTAGTACTGTTTAAACTGGGCTTATGGTAGGAATGTTATAACCAGAAGTCCTTAGCCAGAGCTCTCTGAAACTCTGTTGCTGATCCTGAAGATAAGTCCTGTGATGATGGACATCTGAACACGGGAAGATTCTGTATATACTGAGGCCCAAGGTTTGCACAGTCTTTAAGCATGGTTCCAAACTACCACACTGTAGATGAGGTAGAAACCTCAAATCAGCATCCATCACACTGAGGACCACTTAGCTAGACATTTCTGATGCTGTAACTCTGTCCAGGATGGCAGAGCAGAGTGGCAGAAAGCGATATTTAGAGCTTTGGCTATGCTGGCATCAGCCAGACAGATTAGGTTCTTCTCTAGAACTTGGACTCTAGGGTGCTTTCACACTGCTTGAAATTTTTTTCTGCACCCAGAACCTTTTTCCGGAACCAGGGACTTTTGTTGTGTTCACACTGCAGGAACTTGCCCCGATTGTAGTTCCTCAGAGGCAATTCCAGAACCCTTTCTTAGTACCTACTCCAGACAAGGTACTTTACATTAGGGGAGAGGTAGCTTGCTGATTGGTTAACCAAAAGCACCGGCACTAACTTGACAGTTGCGTGGAAGTACAGGAAAAGAGTAGCAGAGCAAAAATTGAACAGCATTTGTGTACCTGACTTACACTTAATGCATCTATTAATACATTTTTTGCTTGCATCTCCATATTTCTGCATTGCAAAATTTGATTGCTAACCAATATACTTTTGTCTAATATTGCCAGTGCTGAATCTTGCCAGTGCTTATTAATGGGATAATGTTGCATATTTTTTTTATTCTGTGGGAGATGAAAGATTAAACTGCTGGCCAGATTTTGCAAGAATCATGAACATGTTATGGGTCATATAAGTAACATATAAATAAAAGGCTGTGTTCAGTTTTGATCACGATCAATCCCCCTAAAAACTAACAAAATGAATGATTTATCCTCCATTATTTTTGTGTGGCAGTGAAGTTTCATATGAAATTATGTGAGAAGTTTAAAATACAGATTTTTGCATATTCCATGCTTATTTAGCGTAAAGGTCCCAGTTCCTGTTGTGTTGTGTGAAAGTGACAAACGAAAGTGTCCAGGAGCTACAGAAGTCCAAGGTGGAGCTCTGGGACTCGTATGCCAGGACCAAGCTCCGGAACTTGGGTTTGAAAGCTCCTTATTTGACCATGTTTGATATGAAGAGCTGTTTTTCAGTTGCAAATCACATGTAGGGTCCTTAATCCCAGTCAGCTGACCGTGTGAGAATCAGTTCTGAGGACCAACTCAAACTAGGACCTCTCCCCTCCTAAGTAGGGAAAAAAAATTGGAAAAAAAATTCACATCGCAGTATTTCAAATTTTTGTTGTTAATCTTGTGATATTGGTAAAAACAAAAAAGGAGTTGGAAATTTGCCAAAAATATACTACAGCTAAATAGAACTCATCTCCCAATAGAGTCTGTCAAATAAGTTGGAGGTGTCGCCATGAATTGTGCCGAAAGGCACAAAACAGTGTAGACAGATCGCTCAATTTTGTTCATATGAAATTCGGAATATTTCCATACGGCAGAGGACTAATGTTTCTCCGTAACCAGATCTTGTTTGCTTTTCTCCTCCTCGCTCATTTTTGTTAAAATTCTCACAAACGTGCTACGCTGGCTATGAGTGCATCTGACAGCCAGGACAGAAATGTTCATTATTGGTCTAGAGAGCCACACGTAGAGCTCAGGCAAAAGCAGCACCGTATTATATTCTACATAATCTTGAACAGGAACAATCATTAAAATAGTAAAGCTAAACTAAGCTAATAGCTAAAACTTGCTAAGTTTTGTTTCCTGTGACAGAGTAAAAATGTTTTAGCACTTATCTTAACCCAGCTGACTATCACAGTGGTTGCATTGTGACATTTGCATGTGTATAACTTGCAATGTCAATATTAGTATCACAATTTGTGCAGCTGTACTTCGTAACTGTGCCGTTAAGCAAATATGATGCATAAAAGTTGACTATAAAACTCTTTTACCAACAAGCGTCACACATAGTCTTTAAATAATGAAAAGGATGTTTAGTAATGCATAAATGGCACGTATTGTGCTATTCATGCTGTTTGCAGTGCAGTTCTCTAAATATGTATATTTGAATTACAGAACTGTACTTCATGTAAGGCTAATTTATTGTTCTGCATGCAATGATTATCTGTACAGTCAAAATTACATTTTGCTGTGATTATCATCTATAAGACCAAAAACATTAATGGAGGGGAGAGGGCAAACCATTGATAAAATATATTTGAATAGGTGTTGTTTGCAGGTATTTGTCATTTCTGGATACCTGTGCTGTTTTTGTTTACACATCTCTCTTGATCACATGCTGTAAAAATTCCAGAATCCCAGAATAGAATCTAAGCTTTTTTTAAAAAAAACTTTAAATGAGTTTGGATGAAACACCTCTGGCATCGGGAGTGATGGGGAAGGGCGTCTCGCTCAGCAGAAATCGCTGCGCTTCCTGCACTGCTCCTCCGTGCTTCACCTCGCCTGTCAGGCACACGCCGGCGCATAATGTGCCGCTCGCGCTCTCACATGCACGTGGCGCAATCCACGCACAGCGCTGCATTCCCTGCGCAGCTTCGGACCGCAGCAAAAAAAAAAATTAATCTCGTGCGGTTACTTTGTTTCTCTCTCATCGTTCCTGCCACGGGTTCAGGTTTAGATGTTGCCGGGAGAGAGCAGAGATGGGCGGACGGGCTGCAAGCTGAGCCATGGCTGGTCTGTTAACCATCTAAAATCTCCCGTCCTCTGAAACGCCGAGCACTGATGCTGAAGACTCTCAATCGGCAGCTCCCCACAGCTGCTTCCAGGCTGGAGGGGCTGGGAGTCGGCCTCCGTGAGGGAACTCCTTCAAACGCCACCCTCCCGACGGTTGGCATTTTCTTTTCCTTTTATTTTGTTTTTTTTTGTTGTTGTTTTTTTTTTTTCGCTGAGCGATTTTTAACAGCGTAAGTACGTTATTCAGATCAAAGCTGGGATCGTCATGGGGTTGAGCGGAAGAAAAGGGAGAGGGGCAGGCAGCATGAATCATCACAGGGCTTAAAAAACGGGGGCTTTTTTTTTTTTTTTGTTCCGACCCCACCGTCCGGCCCTCAAAGGAGAAAGGATATCGGGGATAATCGTTTTTAATGCTGCCTCCTTGTGTCCCCCTCTGTTTTCCCAGTGATGGCCTCTGCGGTGCAGTTGTACGCCGGCTGGAAGTTCTGCTGGTAGGAGACGGTGCCGCCCCTCCTGGGATAGAAGACCCAACATGTACAGCGTACAGGATCTCCTGATTTCTCATGGATACAAATTGCCCGGTAAAGCCCCGTCGCCCTGTGAGGGGCACCAAGCTGACTGGAGGCGTGAAATCGCCGGGAACAGGTCTGGTCATGGAACAGCGAACGGGTATGAGACGGACACGGGGGCCTATGTCTGCGGAGGGCAGCCGCTGGCTAAGGGCTACTCCAGTGACAACGAATGCAGGGAGAGGAACCAAAGGAGAAAAGCCGGCAGCGGTTACCAAGGTGACACACAGTCCCTGGGAGATTCTCTTGCCACAGATAGCGGGTGAGTTCCTTCTCTTTTCTTTTTTCATACTGCTTTTCCTTAGTGCCTCTTAGCACCACAAGAAAACTTGGCCCCCCCAGTGAGTCTGCATAGGACTCCCCCCACCCTCTCCGGCTGCTGTAAATGCTCCGGCTGTGGCCAGGGCAGTGTCCCCCGCCATGGGGAGAGCTACGTAAAGGTGGGGTTGGTCACGAGGTTTTTCAGGTGCTGGGAATCGATGCCGAGAGCCACATCCCCACCCCCTCCCAGGTACCTCGACTGCTACTACTACGTACCGACCCAAATAAAATCACAAAGAGGGTAATATAGATAATGTGAACCCAAGTACACAGGCGCCACATGGGACTGTGTGCTGTAAACAGTGCCACCCAGCACAGGATCCAAGCCCGGTTCCTATGCAAGGCCGCCAGCCTGACCCACATCCCCTTATATAACATATAAATATTATACGATGTATTTAAATATGGATGCATACTCTGATCAAAAGGATGTTTGCATTCTAGCATGGAGGCGCTGGAGCGGCTTCTGCGTGAAACGTGACGGTTGCTGGAAGACTCCTGTGTTTCTTTACGGTCTCGTGTAGAGATCTGTAATATTGCCCCACCTATTTCTGGATTCTTCACCAGGTCGTACTTTCAGTCCTATAGCTGACGCTGCTTCTGTTCCTTTTCCACTAAAACCCAAATGTTAGATTCACTGCTGTGCAGTAGAAGACTAGTTCATTTATTTGTTTACATTTAATCCTGCAAATATCTTGTAGTGTTGTCATAACGCTTTCCTTGGATACGTCATTATTTTGAAAGACAGATGTGTCCAGTAGGCTTGAAAATGGCCTTTTCCTCAACGTTTGTGTTTTTATAAATGTTAATGGTTATTTCTTTTTACCAGTAACGTATTTTGTTTACTGCTGCAGATACCATTTAGCTAGCACTTGTTTACCCAGAATGCAGTGCTGCACCTTTTTTGCAGAAGCTGTAAAATGCAGATGCTTTTCTTTAAGCGTAAAAAGGCCCTAAAAGAACATCATATGTTTTTACTTAGAAATTACTTAGAAGTTTTTAAATATGTTTTTAAATATGTTCACCTGGTGTGGATTGTAAAACGAGCAGTCAGATAGTATTGGGGGTCTGAAACTGGTTTAAATGGTAATTGTAAAAAGTTCATGCATTTCAAAAAAGGAACACAAATGTCAACACTAAACAATTCTTCTGATAGTGAATCTGTAAATCGCAATCCATTAGACCATATCAGAAATGATATACCTCCAAAAAAGATGATGTGCAAAGATCCTAATATTTTGGGTTTAGTGAGTTATATGTTTTGGGCTGCTTGCATGACTGGTGGAATTAAAATCTCATTTCAGTATTGTTTTTATGTTGTACGAGTCAAGATTTAATCCTTTTCCCTTTAGAAAGGCAAAATGAGTTTTAGATGCAAAAAAGGCAGTGAACCGTCTTATTTAACCTGCCAGAATAGATGGTTTAGATTTGATGTCATACTCACAGAATGACCTTTGATGATGACCTTGCACACTGACCCATATTTGATGATATTTGGTACTAAATCTCTATTCCCACTAGTTCACACTAGCTTCTCTCTCACCCCCTGTCCTTTTGATTAACAAACTGGTTTTTATAACACATACAAATGTACAATTCATGTCTATTAAAATGCCAGATCTAAATATATTTGCTTCTTCTGTCAGTTTTGCTGACGATATGCTCAGCATTCCGTGCTGAATCGTGGAATGTCATTCTTCTGCCGGGTGGGGTTGTGTGTGGGTTACCGTCTACTAGCTCTTTGGCTTCAAAGCGAACATTTTCAATTCTGGCACCGTCAACAAATAACTGCCCAGCCACTTACCTGGAATAGCATTATAGCTCGTCATCTAATGCACCAGGAAGACTTGTGCATTTGTGTATGTTATATATGCGCATGTCCTGTGCTGCCTGGGATCAGCTCCAGGTTTTCCCCCGTGACCTTGGACTGGATGAAGTGATTGGAGGATGCATAGATGGATGGATATCATATGATATATGTATTTCTTAATTTATACATTTATTCATTTCTATTATATATTTGAGGATAATGACAGGCACCCTATTTTCACATTTTCACTTAAAACATTATTGTTTTGAAAATTGCTTTAATCTTTAATCATTTTAGTGTTTTAGTCGTTATTTTCTCCCTTTTATCTTTTTTCATTTTACTCATCGACTATGATTTCAACAGATAAGCAAAACTGGATTGTTTGATGAGAGCAGTGGGGAGGTCTGTCTCAGGTCGAGGGCGTGGCAGGTTTCTGTTATCCTCCAGAATATCTTAGGGCACTTTCATGGGAATTTTGGATTAGCCTCCCTTCTGAAATCACTGGGAAGACAAATTCAGTATCCCGCCATGCTGCATGCCGAAACAGCCCAGAATCCGCCGTTCACCACGCATCCAAATGTGCTTTTTTATCTATGTTTATGACATATCCTTTGGGAACATCACCAGTGACACACATAGGTTGTACTGTAATGCAGTCAAAGGGATTGCATTTGAATGGAGCAATGCCCACAGATTTTTAGGTGCCGGCACCCTTTTGGTCACAGCTCAGGCCGAACAAAGGTTGTCAGGGTTGTGCTTAAAGGGGAACTCAACCCAGGACTTCATTTTATTCATCGCCACACAATGTTCCCACGTATCCGAAGGAAACTGCTTTCAGGCATCTTTGACTAAGAATCGGCTCTGGATTTTCCAAGAAGGTGGTGGAAAAAAAGTCTATGGAGAAAACTTATGTACTGTACAAAACATATTTTATACATACCAGTATTATTTTAATATATGAATATATGTGTAAGAATATTCAGTTTCTATTGTTAACATCTGCTGCTTGCTAACTTGCTCTAACCTATATTGTTAAATTATTATTATTAAAACAGGGTCCTGCATAATTTTTTTTTGTTCCTTTTCCTTAATTTTCCATGAATCTTGTTTTTTTTGTATTTGTGTGTATATGTAGCCCCATAGGGAGGCCAAGGAAAATGGTATTTCAATGCACTGTGTACTTATACATGGATGTGTTGACAATAAAGAACTCTTGAGTCTTGAATATAAAGATGAGGACGAGTGTCACAGACAGGCATGGTAAAGGACGGACAATCCACGTTGTGGTTCATAAACAAAAGGGTTTTATTAAAAGTAAAACAAAACAAGAACTAAAGCAGCACATGAACAGGCAAGGTAACTGGACAAAATGACCAGCTGATGAGAGGAACAGGGGCATGCACTTACTGGACACAGGTATGGGCACTAACAACACAAGAACGCAGATGAGGGCAATCAACAGATAAAGCATCAAACACCAGGAGAAATTAAAATATCAAAACGTAACAGACCAAGGCTATACACAAGGAATAACGGAGCAACAACTGCAGCAGAAATACACAAATATAAGATAAACCAGGAAAATACAAAGAAACATAAATGTTAAATTGTAACTAGTTATATAGATATAATTATAAATTATTATTACTTTTATAATTATAACTCAATTTTACAATGGAAGGGGAAGCTTGGATAACATAACTGCCCGCTCAGCACATTAACCCATGCAGTGGCCCAGGGAACAGGAGAAACACAAGGAGCTAACACCAAACAGGATGGCCAGCGACACCTGCAGGCTGAACAATAAAACTGAAATAACGAAAAGGACAGGGCAGGGGCTGATCCTGACAGATGAATCCAGATGATGGGAAAATGCTAGAGGTTGTAGTTTCCTACTACAGTAAATAAGGAATTACTCCATTACTCAGGAAACTACAGAATTTTGCCAGAAGCACTTCTTAAGAAGGCAGACTAGATACTTTAGGAGCAGTATACTTTAGGACCATATTTTTAGCCAAAATCATTGTACAAAACCAAAATGAGATGAGTCTACAAGAATAGTAACCATAAATTATAGATAGGGAATAGATAGATTTAATCAGCGCTAACGCAACAAATAACTAAAATGAATCTGTAGAATTTAATCTTAACCTGCTTTTTAATGTTACCTTCAAAATCTTCGTATCAACTGTTCACAGAGAAAACACATATTTTGGGAAAGGGCACCTACCTATTACTATAAACCATACACTTGTTCATCTGTCAAAAGTCCTGGTTTATGCCTCAGAAAATGTCAATGTATTGGTTCATTAAAAGGACCTTTAAGATTAACTGACAATGGTGCCCCAAACATTATTTTCTGGCACGAAATGTGCCTACAACATTTCATTCAGACAGTAAATCAAATCTGTCTTACCGCACACTTTGCATTACTCTTACAGTAAGCCTTTATGGCATAATGTGATGACCAACAAAGGTTAGGAAAATATCATTAGTATGTATCTTCTTGGACCCTTGTAATGCAAAGTACTTGGTATACAATAAGGTGTTTTTGTCTGGCACACACAACATCATGGTTCCCAGTTATACTATAACTTTGGCCATTTACTTTTTGCTCCATTTGCCTCTTTATATATGTTATCATTTACAAAAACTGTACTGTTGACTGGAATATCGAGCTAGCAGATAGCTTTTTTGAGTACATTTCAGCCCATAGTAATATTTATTTGTAAGATTTGTTTGCTTGAAATCTCCCTGTCTGTTATGAAGCTCACTAACATAATCATTGTATTTCTGCTGCAGGTTCTACGATGACCCAAGGAGTCTGTCTTCTCAGAGGGATGGGAGGGATGTGTCCTATTGGAGAAGGAGGGGTCAGGACTTCAGCATCTTATTGGATTTTTCAGATAGGAGAGATCCAAGAGGAAGCAGCTTCAGCAAGGCAGGAATGCCACCGGATGGGCTAGGACATGAGAGGCAGAGGTGGGACGATGGTGCCCGGCTTCGAGATGAGGAGCAGAGAATGGTGATTGAGGACAGGAAATGTCAGAGTCTGGGCACAGAAGACTGGCAGCCAGCAGTGGACTTGGGACGACAGCTTTCCGATGGAGAAGGCGAGAGGTGGGCACGTGAGCAGCAGCGTATGATGGCCCCTGGGGGCGACACCCACCCTGGGACACGAGGGAAGTCCCAATCACTCCCCAGGGTGCTGTCACCGGAAAGAGCGCAGTATCCTGAAATGCCAGTGTGGGGACCCATTTCCTTCACTGGCCTGAGGGTCATTGGCAGCCAATCCCAAGGACCTTCCAGGAAGTTCCACATAGAGCTAAGCAGTAGAGATGCTCCTAAGTCCCTCCTACCAATCCCCAGGCTTAGCAGGCCCCTTAAACCACCCTCCTACGAGGCTCACCAGCAAACACGGGGAAGCTTGGAGATGCTTGCCGGAGATGTGGGGGTTCAGCCAAGAGACAAAGCATTGCACTCCCAAAGGGTTAGTGGGGGTTCTAGGCCAGACTATTTTGCACAAGAACCAACGGGGTCCAACGCAGGGCCTCCGGTTTACATACCGCCTCCATCTTATAAAAGGCCTTTGCTGCAGAGAGGAAACCAAAAGATGTCTGGTGAAATATTGTCAAACTCCATGTGGAAGGGAGAGCCCTTTCAGCAGGGAGGGAAGTGGTCTTCCAGACAGGCAGGAAACTCTTGGCTGGACTATCAGAGGGACAGAAGTGCACAAGTTAGGAAAAAGATATGTCCTGGATATACAGAACAGCATGTGGGATGTGTTCAGTACATACCCTTCGATGACCCCCGTGTGAGACACATCTCAGGAGGGCTGTGTGGAAACTCACTGACCTACCCAGACAATATCCGAAGCATCAGTGAAGAGCTTCCCCGTGCTACAGTGTTTGAACAATCTTCACACAACAGTGCCTTTCTCCCACCAAAGGGACATTATATCAATATGGACACTGACAAGAGATCTTATAGTGAGCAAGACAATGAAAATAGACGGCTCAGTGGTGTGCACAAGGCGAGTGACAACTCCACAGCATCTGACCAAAGCTGTAACAAGTATCAGAAAGATCGATCTTACACGGCTTTCCAAAACATCTCATCTCAGCAGAATGCAAATTTGAACCAGGGATTCTGTGAGACTGTAACACAAGTCAAGAAAATCGAGCCTTGCCCTGAATTAGAAAAGAGCTCTAAAAGAAAATTCACTGAGACCATATTCTGTTTAGTGTCCGTCCCAATTCACTCACAGTCAAATGGGGAGTTGTCAGATCAGAATAACAACAAGAGAGTGCCAGATCCAGTAGGGGGCTCCACCGAAAACAATAGGAGCCATGTTCAAAACCAAAGCCTCCTAAGCACATCCTCATCTGAATTGGAACGGCGATCTTTGACTGGCGGAGCACTGAGTCTCAAAGGACGGAAAAGACCCTCTTATAGAAGGCCAATCCTTCAGCTGAACAAATGCAGAGAGCTGCAGTACCCTGGGTCCTGGCCTGGAGACCAGTACAGAGACCAGGAGACGCAGACCAGCTCCCCTGAGGTGTCCAAGGGACCTCCTCAGGTTCCCCCAAACCAGCAAGCACAAGACCAGGGCAATGCTGCTCCTGACACCACTACAGACAGCAGTGTAAGCACCGACTGCAGCAACAGATATAGCTACCCAATGAAGGGGCAGAAAAGCCTGAATCCTTCCAGCAACAGCGCCTTCTCAAGGACAGCCAATTTCTCCAACCAGCTTATCAAGAACAAAACTCAGCAACCACAATTCTCAGGAAGCCAAGAAGAGGAGGACTACCTTCCAGCCCAAAAGAGTGACAAACCGGCAGCCGGCAATGGCCAGGAGGTCTTTGGTCAGTTCCTGCTAAAGCCTGTCAGTAGACGCCCAGGGGATGCAATAGAGGAACTGGAGTCTTTCAACAAGGAGCTTCAGGAACAGTTTGGCCAGACGCCAAGTGTTGACCAGTGTATAGAGAACCTGGATGAGGCATACAGAAACATCCTGGAGCTGAGTAAGACCAGCACTAATGCTGAAAGCCCCCTGCTGAAAGTTCTGGATGACAATAAGGGAACGGGTCTGTCCGATGAGTTCCCAAACACAAACAAGACTGCTTTCAGGAGCTGGACGTCTGCTACGGATCCAGAATACCGAGAGGTGAGGAGCGCATTTTCTAGACCTGCAGGGAAGGCAGTGAGTTTCAGCAGACTGCAGAGAGAAGAGGCGCCAGTGGTGTCAGAAACTGGCCTCCCAGACCAGAATGCCACCACTCACATTCTCCAGAATGTACAAGGTGACCGCAAGGCATCAAAGCCAGACATTACTGTACCCTCAGAGTCTCTACTGAAGGATGTAGGATTAACGGTGTACACAGAAGCTCCAGGGGCTCCAAGACAACTGATGCAGGATGCCTCCACACTGACCAGTCCCCCTGACTATGAGGATGTATGTCAAGCTTTGCAGATGTCAAGGGAAAAACCAGTGCCAAAAGAGAAGAAAGAGAACAAATTCAGGAGTCTGAGCACAGGTCCTCTGACAACACTGAAGAGTGCAGGATACTGCAGTGCAGGTTCCACACTGGAAAGTTCCTTTTCCAAAGCTGTGAGAGGAAGGAAGTCAAAGAAAGGGAACTCGCTGCCAAAATTCAGTGGGGAAAAGAGTGTGAATGTTATAATGGTCAAAAGACAATTTGATAGGTTCTACAATAGGGGGGGGACACGTTGCATTGTCGATGATGTACCAGACGATGACATAAATGAAGTCACTGCTCCTGACAACACTTCTGAACATTTCGATTGGAGGAAGCAGTTGTCATTGGCCGAGAAGCATCTGGAGACGCTGCTGCTGAAAGAGAAAGTCAACAGTGTGCCAGCAGAAGACCTAAGCAAGCTTTATGAAGTTAAATGTGCTGAGGGCATCCCTGAGAATGAGTCCATTGAAGAGAGGGCAGCCAGAATATTAGGAATAGACGTGCCTGCTGAATCTTTGGGCGTGGTGGACCGGAGAGATGGGAAACAAGCAGAAGAACCAAAAAAGGAAAATGACAGCGAACATCTGGGTAGTAAATCTCCAGAATGTGCCAACGGAAAGCAAATGCATGTGAGCGACCAGTGTGAAGAAGTGAGCGAGGCATCCATATCAGATATGAGACAAGAAGGTGAGACGGCGGACGAGATGGAAACCAGTAAGGACAGTAACCTTAGCAAGGATAATGGGAACTGCGTCAGAAAGAAACCAGGAGCACCAGAGGGCCCTGAGAATAAGCCAGTTCTGTCTGTGAGGATCAATGCTGATGATGGGTGTAAGGGCCCGGGCACGTCCCGGATGATCGAAGCACTGCAGGGCAGGCTAGGTGCCTCATCCTGCAAGGTAGCAGCAGATCGCTTGGCCCGGATGAAGGAAGTGGACTCTGTGTCACGGATGAGACGCCTCAGTTTCAGGAGCTTGGACTTGGGAGAGGAGCCTGAGGATGAGGCCAGGGCAGGGGCAAGCATGCTGGAACAGTCCCAGCCCGCCCAGCCCCAGCCCCAGTCCCGTAATACTACCCCAGCCACCAAGAGGGCGCTTACTCTACCCCCAGGCTTTAGCGTGTCCTCCAAAAGAACAGAGCTCCAAGACGGGGATCCGCAGCCCCCCTCAGGTCAGTCTGTGAACTTATGTGCTGATGTGTTTGTCTCTGCGACTAGACTGTGTTAGTTTAGCACACCAGGCTGTTCCCAGGTGGAAGCAGATGACCCAGTGATTCATATTCCTGGATACAGTAGAATCCAGGTAATTTGCCTGGAAGAAAATCATTTTTATTTTTGGAGTAGAACGAAACGGAAACAATATAGCTTTGAAAAAGAATGTATTCATAGTTTGTTACATTTCTCATGAAGTGCAGCCCATGAGAGCACTTCTCTTTATTATAATTTGTCTTAAAGATACTAAAAACAAACTGTTAATGAATTAAAATGTAACACATAAAAATTAGGCAACATAAGGTTGAATTCCAAATGGCTACATTCCAATTAAATCCCTGCGAGGGAAATCTTTATGACACTGAACAATCTAAATCACTTGTGATTCAGACATTAGAACCTTGGACAGCAAACACTGATACCCGTTTGGTCCTTTTTGCAGGCGTGGTTTAAATGGTCTTTCTAACGATACAGGCAGAGTTGATGAGGGAGGATGGTCTGAGCCTTCACAAGAGACTTAACTCAGTGAACCAGAAATTCAGATCTAATGCAGGGTTACAACTTCGTTTTTGGTTCCTCTACATCAGGGGTCTCCAACTCCAGTCCTGGAGAGCTACTATCCAGTAGGTTTTCTATCCTACCTGGCTTCTGATGAGCCACACCTGTTCTCAGGTAAATACCAGGAACAGGTGTGGCTCATCAGAAGCCAAGTAGGATAGAAAACCTACTGGATAGTAGCTCTCCAGGACCGGAGTTGGAGAACCCTGCTCTACATGTTCTGAAGATGTTTTTCTTACAGCATAGACAAGTAAAGTAACTGCTGCTTTCCGTTTGCTTTCCAGATTCCTATGACCCTACTCGAGTCGAAAGGGTGTAGACCCGGACTGTCATCTCCATTTTAGAATCAGCGCCGACACTGTGACCTGGCAACCCACGAGAATGCCTTCATTTCATGCCAGTCCTGCGGAAATGGCCTTCTTCTTCGACACGAGTATTGTGTACACTGTCATCGGGCGCTGTGCTGAACCCTCTTCTACTGCCAAAGGGGTGTGGCCCTCAGAAGGGGCATCTTTTCTCATGTTGTTCTCTCATCCCTCGTTCCCTCCAAAACGCAGTTTCTCCCACCAACGTTATGCAATTCTGTAACGTGCACCAAGGTTTTTTTTAATATTGAGAAAAAAAAAATGTTTTTGTGAAACGAGCACTGCTCATACATTCACGGTTTAGTTACCAGATCGCTGTCAATATGTGAATGTAATTGCTTGTGTTTTCTGAACAAAATAGAAATGACAGAAGAGCAGTGCAGAATGTTCCTTTACAATCTGTGTTGTCAACACCAAATATATATAGTTTAAAATGTAAAGGTTTATTAGAACTTTATAAAAACTGATTATTTTTTTAGCACATGACCATCTGCCATAAATCATTAAAAAAGTTATTTGTGCCATAACCAGATCAGTATTTCTAATGATTAAATGTTCATTATTAGCTTTTTTCAGGGGGAGGGTTACTTTGAAGCTAGGGGACAGGTCTGATCAGGTTAAGAGCACTGGTGCATTTAATTGTATCAGAAACAGCAATATTGTTGCATAGAACAATGCTGTCCAGACATGCTTTAAACAGTGTGAAGATCTCTGCGGGAACACACCATTAAAAAAAAGTCTTGCTTTAAATATTTGCCATGAAAGGTGTGTCCACACGCACATTTCTCTCTGTCTACCACAGATTTTAAACATTATACAAAACTTTTCATTTCATAAAGTATTTATTTTTATTCCATCAAACCTGCCTGCTTAATGTACAAAATAAAGTATATTTTATCTATATATTGAGATTTTTATTTAACCCTACTGTTTTTGTTGCCCATTTTCATTAAGCTTTAAGAAGTATTGTATGCCTGATGATTATAATAATATATACAGAATTTTCTACAATAATGCTTTTCAAAAAAGGATAAACAAAATGAAAAGAAATTTCAAATAATAAATGCAGTGTACCATGAACACACTGTTTATGGTAAGTTCTACTGAACCAATAAATATTTGGAAATACTAACAGTTTTATTGGTAGTCTCTAAGTAATACATTTTACATACGAGCATAAGAGTGTAAAAGTTTTCATATGAAAGCAGATCTGGCCAAAATACTATAATGCATAGTATGACAACATTTTAAAATGGTGTGTTTATATTTTTGTTTTTAAAGGTGAAAATATTTACATTATTTTGACTTAAAGCTAATTAATGCATTATTTCTTGCATCTTAATCTCACAAAAGCTCCACAATAGGTCAGTTATAATCATCAAACTGCTTCACCTTAGTTTTTAGTCATTAGCTGAAGTGTTAACATTACATAATATGAAACTCAAATTTGTCGATTTGTAGTGTTATCAATTGAAACTACTGATTATTGACTCATTTTCATTTAAAGGGACTTAAACATTGAAGTGTTCCATACAGAATGATAGCAATAAAATTGTGTTTGTGTCTTTCTGCTTGCCGCAAATGTAATTTTTTTCTCTTTTGTTCGCTTGCAATATGGACATGAGAGAACAGGATGAGTTTTCAGACATCAAAAACTTTTCTCGGTCAGACCTTAATAGTGAGAGAATGTTTCTGAGGTATGATTGGCAGGATTAGACCCGAGGCATGGTGTTACTGCTGTTGGTCTTGACCGTAATGCTTGATGGCATCATTGTTCTCATTTGTCATCGATCTGAACACCTTGATGGTGTATGTTTGTTGGCTCCAGTGTTGTAGATTTCACTCAACCCACCACGCTGTCCGTGGAAACAACCCCCAGCCCTTGGCTTACCAAGTGGACTGTTCTAACTAGTTGTCATTAATCTTTTATATTGCCGGTTATGTGCAACATAAATAATTATGCACATTGTGTTGTAATATTTTCTATTTTCATATGAAATTGAAATGCTTTTTTGTACACAGGCATTGCTTTTCTTGCATGAAATGAAATTAAAATGAATGAAATGAAATGAGAGGGAAGGAAGGGGAAAATGTTTTGCAAATAATTGCATTTGGTACTCTAGTCTACCCAATACATTATCTTTCATATTACATATTTTTATTTTGAAAACTATGCCAAGTATTTAAATCAAAACGAGCTATTTTTAGAGTATTTTAAAAGGGAACTCTTTTTTTTCCTCAAGGCACATCTCAACCTTTGTATTTATGAACATGAAAATGACCATAACATACAGTCGTATGAGTGTGCTTCTGTTGTATGTTAATGCAGACTTATTCGTAAATAAATTCTTTGCATGATGATTTTCGTGTCTTATTTTGAAATGATTGTATTAAATCAAATATTTTAAAATGTATTTGTTATTGAGGGAAATACAGAGACCTATTGTTAGAAATTGTTAGAAATAAGAATTCAATCAGAATTGTTAGAAACAAGAATTCAAAACAAATGTTGCGCACACCACCTCGCAGTGGACCTTAGTTTTATGTTGGTGGTGGTATTTCGCTCACGGGGGAAAATAGTTGGGGACCCCTGTAGCCTGTATCATAAAACTGGATTTCTTGCTTAGCCAGATAACTTAAAGGATTTAAGGTACCCCAATTTAAATGGCCTTTACTTTTGTAATTTACATTTAGCTCAGACTACCTTAAATCCAACAAGTTATCTGGCTAAGCAAGAAACCTTCTTTGTGATACAGGCACCAGCCCTCTAAGAAAGCATGGCATATATAGACACACACGCACTATATATGGAGAAAAGTATTGGGACACCTGGCCATTACACCTAAAGAACTTTTATGACAACCCATTCTATATCCAAAGGCCCCGAAATGGAGTTGGTCTCCCCTTTGCAACTATAACAGCTGCCACTCTTCTGGGAAGGCTTTCCACAGGTTTACGGAGTGTGTCTGTGGAAATTTTCTCCAATTTATCCAAAAGAGCATTTGTGGGGTCAGGCATTGATGTTGGACATGAAAGCCTGGCCTGCAATCTCCATTCTAGTTCATCACAAAGGTGTTTGATGGGGTTGAGGTCAGGGCTCTGTTCGAGCCAGTCAAGTTCTTCCATACCATACACACCCAACCATGTCTTTATGGACCTAGCTTTGTGCGTGGGGCACAGACATGCTGGAACAGAAAGGGGTTTACGTCAAACTGTTCCCACAAAGTTGGAAGCATAGAGTTATCAAAAGTGCCTCGGCATGCTGAATCATTAAGAGTTCCCTTCACTGGAACTAAGGGGCCTAGCCCAACCCCTGAACAACAACCCCATACCATTATCCCTCCTCCACCAAACTATAGAGCTGGCACAATGCAGTGTGGCAGGTAATGTTCTCCTGGCATCTGCCAAACCCAGAATCAGACTGCCAGACAGAGAAGCATGATTTGCCACTCCACAGAACATATTTCCACTGATCTAGAGTGCAGTGGGAGTGTGCTTTAGGGTGCTTTTCCACCGCACCAGCTACTGTACTTTCGGTACTTCCATAAAGTACCAAAAGTATGGTACTTCTTTTGTGTCGGTTTTCCACTGGCATAAAAACTGGTACCAGCACCAAATGACATCATCAGTGACTGCCCCTAACTGACATCATCACAAAGCGTGGCACAGTATTTATTTCACTGGATTCAAACATGTTATTATGATCCTTCACTATCCTGTAGTCCTGCTTAAGTTTTTTGATTTTCAAGCGGCATTGTTCGTTGTTTCGCGTGTGCCCCATTTCTTCCAAGCGGCTTGCTATTACGGCAAATACTTTTTTATTTCGAGTCGTGTCATCCAAATCCCACTGGATCTGTTCATCCGACCATATGGCGATTAAAGCCTGTGTTTCCTCATTTGTCCATCCTTCCATTTTCCTTTTTTATATTTTTGTTTCTACTGCTTTTTATTTAATTTCTCGCTGTTCACTGTGTGTTTCAAAAACTGGTGGTTGTATTTTGTGTTTCAGCGGCAGGCTATTTGCATAACCAATCAACAGCAAATACGTTTGCAAGTCCCACCCCAAAGTACCGAAGTACCAAAGAAGTACCCCAGCTGGTTTGGCACTTTCAGTACTGGAACTTTCGGTACTGGTACTCCACCGGAAGACAATGGAAAAGCGAAAGTACCGAAAGTACCTTCCCGAAAGTACCATACTTTGTCTGGTGGAAAAGCGCCCTTACATTACTCCATCCGACGCGTGGCATTGCGCTTGATGATGTGAGGCTTGCTTGCAGCTACTAGGCCATGGAAGCCCAATCCATGAAACTCTCAGCGCACAGTTTTTTGTGCTAGGAAGTTTGGAACTCTGCAGTTATTGAGTCAACAGACCATTGGCAACTTCTGCGTACTATGCGTCTCAGCACTCGGCGACCCCTCTCTGTCACCTTACGTGGTCTGCCACTTCTTGGCTAAGTTACTGTTGTTCCTAAACGCTTCCACATTGCAATAATCCAACTTACAGTCGGCTGTGGAATATCTAGCAGTGGAGACATTTCCAAACCTGCCTTGCAAAGGAGGCATCCTATGACAGTACCATGCATGCATTCACTGAGCTCTTCAGAATGACCCATTGCATCACAAATATTTGTAAACCTGACTGCATGGCTAGGTGCTTGACTTTATATACCTACAGCAATGGGTGTGAATGAAACACTTAAATTCAGTGGTTGAGAGGTGTGTCCCAATACATTTGTTCATGTAGTGTGTGTGTGCATGTGTGTATTCAGTCAGAGCTATAGCTGATTAATAGAAAGTGTCTTTTTCGCCAATAAAATACACTTAAAGAATGTATACTATATATGTCTTTAGCCAAACAATCTCATGACAAGGCACACTCTACACACACGCTGCATAGTCAGTGATGATTACAGCATTGTGCATTTTCATTACATTATTCATTAGATTAGTTTTTTTTTATTTTAAATTAAGTTACATTGAAAGTGGGTGGCAACACTTTCCAGTTAAATTCAAATGTTGTAAAAATAGTGATTGATATTTTATTACTGAAAGCATTATTGCAGGCTAGATTTTTTTGTAGTTTTTGTATTAACTATGGTATCTCAAGTATACAAGTACAGGCCACTTGTTACGATACATTTTTAAATTATTATTTTATGTAAAAACTGAAGGTGTACGGTATAGTGTCATAACTGTCGCGCCCAGCTCGTACGATCCTCCTGTGTGCCACGCTCCCTTGTTAACCCCGTGTGGAATCCTTACGTTTAGAGGCTGTTCTACGTTTCCTGCCATTAGTCTTGTGTATTTCAGTCCGCGTTCAAGTCTGTTTCCCCAGTCATTAAAGTTACGTGTGTCTATTGACAGAATTAGAATTGATTCCTACAATAAATCCCTAATTCCCGATCCTACGTCTCCCTGCTCCTGCTTCCGCATTTCCCTACGTGAGAATAACTAGTAGAATAAGCCATTAGATTATAGAATAAATAATTATCAATGTATTCAAAATACTGGAGTTCACAATATCATGTAGGATTATAATTTCCCTATCAAACAGATCAAAGTAAACCTTTGGAAGGGTTATTTCAAGCGCATTATTTCTAGTCAACGACTGTATGTCCAGGATTTTTACATTACTGAGGTGACAACCCTAAGTAAATATACTTGGTTCCTTCATTTTTTACTCCTCTCGAAATTCGACCAAAGTTCGCTCCATTGACAAGTTTTAACCAGTCCTGGTGAACCCAAATATCTGAGAAAATACAATGAATCGAAATGCATCCTCATTATGTTCCAGGATTACAAGCGTCTAGTTACAAATATCAATGCATTTTCAATAAGAGTTATCGCGACGGCAGTGACGCGTGGCGGCCGCGCGGCCCTTTCTTCAGAAGCAGCGGGAAAATGGCAGAGCTTCTGGAGATGAAGGTGGCCGCCGTGTCCTACCTGGACAGGAGCGGTGGGCTGCGACGCTTCATTGAAGACTGTAAAGTACTGGGCGGTGGGTTGTGGCAACCCCCACAATGACACCCAAGTAAAGCGACGCGGATAGTTGCTTTCGCGACGTTTAAGCTGTTTTTGGTTGAGTTTTTAGTTGTGCCCATTGGAACCACCAATCTGCCTGGTCGGCGTTACCTAAAAAAGTATGGCGCTTTAAAACCTAACGTCGGTTTAACGAGCAGGATAGCAAGTATGCGGCGTTTGGCCGAATAAGCGGACAATGTCTGCAGTAAACCTTTAAGAAAATTAAACATTTTTTAAGTGTCTCCGAAATTTGTTGGTTCCACTAGGTCTTTTAGGAAGAACAAATTTCATAAAATAAGTAACCATTGAATCAACCTGCCCAGGTGTACAAGTTTCGTAAATGTTTCGTAAATAGGGTGTCCCCCCCTCCCTATTTGTTTTTTTTTTTTTATGTGTGAGGTGTATTTTAGGACTAGTGGGGGTTTCATACTTATTACGACATACGTCTTTCACGTAAAATATACTTTAACTTACGTGTTGGTTGTTTCAAAAACATGCCGAATCTCATGTTAAGCAGTTAAATAGTAAAATGTCGGTTATCACCCAATGGGCTGTGATGTGTATTTTTAACCCCACCCCCCACCATTTGAGATATACGTGTTGCATATATTGGGAGGGATTATGTGATGTTAAACTTTACTTCGTACAGATCCCCAGCAAACGGAGGCCGTGTACCGGTTCTGTATTACCGTGAATCCCTCCGATGTAATAGAAACCGATGCCCGCCTTGGGGACTGGGTCCTGCACGATTCTTTCAGAGCCACAGCTTTGTTCCAGTCAGTAAGTGAAACAATTACTAAACGTTACTTTAGTGTAAGTGATGAATTGCAATCATTATTATGAGTTTTTCCTGTTTTGTAGGTGTGTTTCCTGTCAATTAAGACACTATCACTCATTGAGAAGATAGATACAGAAAATCAGGTACTGTAGTCCATGATTTCTCTTTGAACACCATGGATTTAGTTGTGCAAAAAAGCATGGTTTGAAAAGCAGTGGCATGGCAATTAAAGAAATTAATTGAAGTTTTTTAATGTTCCTGATTATAAATGATATGGTAGTAGAACATTGGTTCTAAGTGGAACAACACTGTAGTTGTGCAGACCATGATGTTGTTTGTCCTGCCATCAGGTGAATGTAGTGCTAAAGCTCATGCAACTGCCTCTCCTCCCTGGCTACATGCTGGACCTGCATAAGTTTCCACGTGTGTGCAGTCCCATGCGTCCCCAAGCTCTGGAGGGCCTGGCCATAGCCATGACCCGGGTCACCAAATACACCCAAGGTGCCCGGTTTCTCTGCACACAGGGAACTTGCCCCTGCTCCACAGGTAACCCAGCCAGAACTGATGCTGGGCTGAAACCTAGTAGCAGTGGCACAGTATTTTTCTGCTTATCCAGATGTATCTGAATGCATTAGGGCCTCATCAGCTTCCAGGTCTCTAACATACCCAGTAGACTCTCAGTTAACTACTGCCCATTGCACTGTCATCCTGCATGGTGGGGATAAATGCTTCTCTGTGCACAGTATGAACAGTATGTCCACACACTGCAGTCACTGACAGATGTTGAGCCTTAACAAGAGCTTCAGTTGTTCTCCCAGATGTTCTGTTCATTTTACATTTTAACAAGAATGGTACACAACTTTGTATAAGTATCCATTAGCATTAGCATTCACATTCTGAATCATGGAATAAATAGCACTTTAAAAGCCTGTCATGTTTGTGCTTGAATGTCACACATCTTATTTGTAGGGTGTAATCTATCAGAAGGTATTCCTCCATGCAAAAAAAAAACAACCATGAAAACAAAAGCCATTGTGCTCATCCATGCTGGTTTTTATCACAGAGCTCTTAGTTAAGCAGTCTTGCTTGAGCTATTGATTTATCTCTGACCCAGATTTGGAATTTTTTCTCGATTTATATTATTTTTTTGAATGACTATTAAATGATTCTTTAAGCTGCATTCGCACACATGACGATGTGTAAATGAAAATGTTTTTATGTTTGCTTTTTAAAATGACTAACACATAACTAAATAATTGACATTTGATATATTTATTAATGATGTGTACATGTTCCTACATTTGGAACCATTAAGTAACCTACTTTATATGTGACTGGATGCATTTTTCTGGATACATCAAATGAGCTATTTTGTTAGCTGGATCAAGAATCAAGATACGCATTGGAAGCGCAGGTTTTCCCCAGTAACAGGACTTGGAAAACTAGGGCAGTGGCTCTGCATCAGCAGGACGTGCCTTTCCTGGAACTAAGGGAATGGCATATATTATGTGGATACATAACACAGAATTACCATTAAACTACCAGTAAAATTATACATATGTAGGAGTGTGGACAATATAAAGTAACTGGTGAACTATTAAACGACCAACATGCTAAACTAATAGGAAGGTCCTGGGGTCTGCCTGCTGTTACAGGGTTCCATCACATTCGAGTACATACCCCAGGGGCAACAGAATCTGCCACGGTGAGGAGCTCCTTCACCTGCAAGCTGTGTTCTTCGCCTCTCAGAGAGGATATGAAGTCCAGGGTGCTGGGAGGTGAGAGAATCACTGTGGCCTCCCGCTGGGCAAACTTTGAAGTAGACCTGGAGGGTTTTTACATATAGCAGTTTCTGGTTGGTTTCTTCTGTATTATTTGGTCCAGTTTGATTATCCTTTCAAACGTTACTATATAATACTATATTTCCTGAAACCAAAGAGTTTAAATATTCAGATTCACCTTTCAACTATGTTTAATGTAACAGCTGAATAAGAAAGGGAAGATGGTGGAGCCTTAAACTGCTTCATGGTTGCCTAGGGATTCCTCATGGTGCCTTTATGACAGATAAGCAGATGGTAGAAATGATTGATGCGCGAGCTGTGGATATCCTGAGTACCCACCCTCCACACTCCCTCCGTTACCAGTCTGTGACCTTGTTCCTCAGAGGTAGGCCCCATTTAAAGGTTTGGTGAGCTGTTTTGGGTCTTTTTCCTGAAGAATTATTTCACTTAAATTAGCATTAATGAGCATTAATTAGAAATTTCCAGTTAAGTATGAAATGCCATTATATCAAAAACAATTGTGTAATGTAAAAAGACTGGAAATATTATGTATATTATGTATTATTTACAACAAATCATGTACAGTTAGTGAAATATTTGTTATTGTTCAGTATCTGCATTTGCCTGGTCTATATCTTTCCAAATCAATTAGTGTTTATGAATAGATGATCTAGTTAATATATATTTTTTTAATTTCCGTTTAGACTGAGTCCTACTGCACTGACCATAGTTAGAATTTGCACCATGTAATTTGCTGATTAAGACCATACTGATCGGAACAAACTGGCTTCATTTCTCTGAGAGAGGGAGGGGAAAAACATGGGATTTGTTATGTCTATGGTAGGGGAGACTGAGTTTATTGGTTACCTTTGTTGAGGGTCGTGTGACTCATCCTGTCAGAGCTTAGCCCCTCCTACACATTGCCAGTTCATTTGCAGTGTGAAAGAGAGGGCAAGGCCATGAATCAGGGGTGCACATATTAACTACCCGCTGCTTTCCATGGCTAACAGGAGGCCAGTGTGTTCAGCCAAGGGTAGTTGACTGGGGGAAAATAAGGAATAAGAATGTAAAATGTTAGAGAAATATGCTGAATGTTTGCTTTGATTCTCCATGCTTAGATGAACTATGTGATTCCATGAAGATTGGTAAGCTGTATCGAGTGGTGGGCATTCCAGCACATGTTCACCAGTGGCCACATGTCACTTGGAGCATAGAGGCCAGCAGTGTTCAGCCATGGGAGCCAAAAAGTAACTCCCGCTTGTAATTTATGACTTCGTGTTTGGATATAATTCTCTGCTTTATCATTTGCTGCTGTGAGTTATGATTGCTCAGTCTTGGCCCCTGCATTCAGGTCCTGGAGCTGTCAGCAGTAACTTCCAGTCCCTGTTGGTGGTCACCTCCTGCTCACCATGGAGGTTTACAGCCGTCATGGCCAGCATGTTCGGGTCACCTGTGGTTCCTCCAGGCCTCTACAGCACCCTAAAGCTTTGTTTGCTCCTGAGCCTGGTGCAAACTAGAGAGAATGAGCAGGATTCACCCCATTACTTAGACGTACTGGCTCTGAGTAGTGACACTCTCATCATAGACAGGTGTTCTCACCAGCATCACCAAATTAAAAGTATAAACTTGGTTTTAAAGGTACATAAAAAAGCTTGTTGTTGAAGGTTGATGACCTACAGCCTGGCCCTTGCGAGTCGGGGGATACGACACCAGGCATCTGGGGAGATGTTGGCCACCCTGTCTGAAGATGAACATGGTGCTGGGACGGCCAACATTCACGCTGGTGCTGCTTTCCTGGCCACTGGGGGCATATGCCTCCTGGGAGATCTAGCAACTTACAGGAAGGATAAACTGGAGGTGCTACAGTCAGGTGCACTTTCGACCATTAACCTTCCCAGCACTAACCCTCTGTAACTAATATCCTGCCTTCTGATTGACCTGTTTCATCGCTAAGCTCCCAGCTTTTAAACTGCCATCCTACTGTTAAGCATTCTGCTGCTAACTTTTCTGCCACTGACTGTTCTTTCAGTGTTGGAGACCAGGACTGCCAGTGTGTTCTTTCCTGCAAAGAAGTATGGAGAGGATACAGATCAAAAGCTTTCCTTCTCTATCCAGTGCAGCTTCTGGGCACTGGGTGACACAGGCGCTCATGCCAAGAGGACAGTGAAGGGAGACAGTATCATTCTGGGTTCGATGGTTAGTGCACTCCAGATCAATACAAGAGTTGTGCTTACTCAGGATGGCATGTTCAATGAGCTCATGTAAAACGTCTCCACGTGAACCTCATTTTTTTGTGGATTACAGTTATCCCTTCCTCTCTTTATATAGTACCTGTTAAAAGTCTGGGCACACCTGCTTTTATTGTGTTTGTCTCTGTAGTGAAAGACTTCAAGGCAATAAATGAATACATATCAAATAAAGCATCATCCAAGAGAAATGTTCAACACCGCATTCAGTGACAGCATTCTTTCAGCCAGCTTCCAGATGTAGCACCTGGAATGCATCTCCAACAGTCCTGAAGGCATTTCCACAAGTTCTGGGCACAATTTGGCTACCTTGCTCTTTTCGATTCAACTCATCCAAAACCACCTATATGGTTTAGACCCGGGAATTGTGAGGGACAGGTCATCTGTCACAGAACTACACTTTTTTTCCTAGTTCACAAGATAATGCTTAATAACCTTGAGGTGTGCTTAGGGTCATTATCTTGTTGAAAAACATGAACTTCAGTAGGTATGTATACTGGTACTTGGTACTGTATGTGTACAAAGATAAAAGGAGAATGTTCTCAATTTTGAAATATATGACTAGCCATGCTGAGATGATTGGGCAGAAATTTAGAATGAGGAAGCAATCAGTATCCCTTTTGGAGAAATTTGGCTGTTTGTGTGTGATTGGCAGTTGAATTGAGTTTAGTGATCCACGAAATTCACAAAAAAGATCATAGAATTTTTAAATGCTGCATCACCATTGAATATCTTGCTGTAGGAAATGGGGTCAGTTCCTGCCCAGCTTGCAGAGACCTTTGGCCTGGTGGTTCAATGTCGCCACAATCGCACTCTGCTGCCCCTCACCGTCCACACCCTCAGGCACGCCATCACACCAGGGGACCCCCTGTATCCCGCCAGCATGCAGTTCACTACACAGGATTACCAGGATGTACGTCATATACAGGGAATGGCTCAAAATGCCAAGCTCCACCCATGTTTACTTGACAGATTTTAGATAACTCACCAGATATTAGGGGTAACTGGGAAAGGTCTAATATGTTGTCTGAATTAACTAAAATGATGTGAACAGGTAAAATATGTACATGGAATTGTTTAGCTATTAGACTTGGTTTGAATAAAAGAGTATGCCGTGCTCACCACACAAAGAAAATGTAGTGATGTGAAACAGAAATGCAATCTGATCTTATGACTAAACTAGTGGAGGATGAATAATTGCATTTGCTGAACAAAGGACATTTTATGTTTACCAACACCCTGCCCAGCTCCTGGACCATGCACGCAGCCTGCAGGTGGAGCTCAGTCCCCAAGCGGAAAGGATGATCCATGGCTACTTTGCAGCAAGCCGCAGGCTGCGCTCCAGTACAGGACCAAGCCCCTTGCTCTCAGCTGCCTACTTTAGACTCCTGTACGCACAATCGCATCATGGGCTTGTACAGCACAGGAGTATTCATGGACATAGGTTTGAAATTGGGAATAGGCTTTCTAATGGAGAAGTCTTTCGAGTTCAGCAAATGTATGGTCAGAAGCAGAAATCCATTACAAGTCATTTAGATGCTATTTATTTTTCACCACTAGATGGAGTATTTTTACTATTTGTTCTTAGGTGCATTTTAACCCAGAATGTGCTCAGGCTTATGACAGTTGCAGAACCCTTGAATATTTTTTTTCTTTTTTTTTTGGCAGACTTGCAGTGATTGTGGTATGAGGCCACAGTGGCTGCTATAGTAGTTTTAAATTAACATTGTTTCAAATAAAAAAAGTCTCTCCAACTTTGTTGGTGAAAATAGGCTGCCCACTGGAAAGTGGGCTAATCATCAGATTTAAGTCAATACCGTTATTTTCTGTCCAGACAGTGACTGTAATGAGTTGAGGGCTGGATCACAAACACGGCAGGCTATAGTTTCTTCAGAGGATATCACTGGATATGTCTGATGTTGAGTGTGTCCAAGTCCACCTTATCTTTGTTTGCTAGTGTATCCATGGCAGAGGCTCACTGTAAACTGAGTCTAAGGACCAGGGTGTCAGTGGAGGATGCAGTGGTTGCAGTGCTGCTGTGTGAAGCATCACTCACCCTGAAGTATGGTGAGTATCAATCTTACTCTGGCCATGTTTCCTTTGCTCACTATATATCAGACCATGGGTGTGGCAGTTATGTTAGCCTATTCGGTGACCCAGCCCAGTTGTCATTGGTTTAGTTAATAGAGCCATTGCTGATATTAAGAAAGGAACATAAGCTGAAGGTCAGTAAATTCTGAAAATATATTTCTGCTATGATACAGCTACAGTATAAATATACCTATAAATTTACAGGTGCCTCTGCACTCACCATTCCTCCTGAGGCTGTGTTCCCTTGTGACCTGCATGATTTTGAATCCTTACACCAGAGGGATATGGCCCTGGATCAGCTGCACCAGCAGATCCTACACTTCATCTACGCCTATGCGCCCGGGGCTGCAAACTACATCACCGAAGAGTAGAGAACCAGGTTGCTGTTAGCCTCCGCTGTGCTTCTGGACTGTAAGCCAGACAGTGTCGTTATATTTGCTCGTTTTACAATCTATCCCAGCTCATTTAGTTTAGATCAAAGTCAACTACTTCTTGTTACTAGGTGGGATATAAAGCAATATGAAATGGCTCTGCTGTACAACTCAAAATATTACCTTCCTCCAACTTCAACTTGAGAAAAAAAATCTGTAGAAAACACTGCACAGAACATGTGAAGTATGAAATTGGTAGGAGGAACCAAATCAGGACAGATCCGAGTAGTAAGGTTTAAAGTGGTTTATTATGACAAAGGGCCAGCTAGAATACAGAAGCACTGTGCAGCTCTTAGTAGGTTCTCATAAAACCTTGTTTCCATTAAATCCCAGAGGAGGAGAAATTTGGTTTACAGGGACCAACTAACTACTGAGATTTATGCCATGTAGGTTTTACTCTAAATTCCTTACTGTAGTTGTTGACTGGAAGCACACAGTTGAAGTTTCGTTAAAGGAACTACTTCACTCAGTAGCCAAGTATTCGAAGGTTCAGAGGAGTTTCACCTACAATCGAAATATTGACCTAACATGTAATAGTAATTCTGACCCTTATAGGCATCAGAGTGCCACTCCAGTTAAACTTGGCTGAGGATCCGCTACATATTCAGTTGAACATGTCATTAAAAAGAACTGACAAAACCCATGTGCTTCCAGGACATAGCTGAAAAAGTCACTACCTTAGGCTCCTGTAGAACTGTTGTTAATGACTCAGAATGCTAATCTCAGCACCCCAGATACAGTCAGCTGGGTAAACGGCCAAAAAAGTTCAGTTTCAGCAAACCGCTAAAACAGGCTATACACTTACTGTCCAACAAAAATCCATTTCTCACCCAAATAAAACAGCCATCTTTGCTGGCAGAAGCCCATCCTCTGGATAACTTCCACATCTGTAAGCAAAAACAGCCATTAAGTTAAGCAATGAAGTCCATCAATCTTGCAACTGCTTGTCCTGGTCTGGGCTTTAGGGTGGCTTGGAGCCAATCCCAAAAAGGGTTTAAGAGCTAAACTTTTCAGAAGCAATGACCAGTCCAACTCACCATGGTCTACGTGGACATTTCTCAGGCTCCCCACACTTTCATTTTGGGTCTAGAACCTTCATCTGTACATCTTATAGGAAACAGAAGCAGCAGTTTGGTTTTATGGCTACTGACAAAGTTACACACCATTCCACTAACTAGTAACATAAATGGATTCTCAGATACTCGATTTCAACATTCCAAATTGGTCTGATGGGTAAACGGCAAAAATATAGCATCATCACAGATCCAGTCCCACCACAGTGAGTGCACCACCAGGCATGCAGACATACCTCCAACTCAGTGGCCATTTTCAACACCTGGCTCTTAATCTCCTCAGGTAATTTTCATGCCTACAAAAAAAAAGATCATCTTTGTATGAAACGTGTCACATATTCAATACTATGCCACGGTCAGTCACTGGGAACTCAGAAAAATATGAAAGTCAGCACCCCAATCTGGTCTGAAGGGTAAACGGCAAAAACAATTCATCACAGTTCCAGCAACATCTGAGGACACCATGAATTCACATATTAAAATGACCATTTTCAATGGAGGATGTCACATTAGCATTTATTTATAAAACTTACCCATCTACTGTAGCATCTGCCATTCAGGTTTCCACACAGTTCAATAGAAATGGCAGGGACACCCAGAGTCCCAGACTAGTTCTGTGGATGGCAGAAGTGTTTTCAATTAGTTTGTAGGAAGCTAGAATCACACCTGCAAATCCTCCATCCAGGCTTTGATTAGTTTTCCCTTAAATTCTCAAGATAATGAGGGAAGATGGAGAAAGAGACAATGCTCATGACAGATGAGCTCAAGGTCAGAGGCCTTAAATAGGACAGCTTGGCAGCAGCTTTACACCAAAGACTATTGAACGTCAGGGCCTTCAAGAGCAGGCCAAAGTCCCCCACACGCTTGCGGCACTGTGACCAATCAGAAGCGCTCACGATTAAAACTACCAAAATGGATCTATGAGGATAGAATCAAACTGTTAACGTGAATAACCGCAATACGAAAACATTCAGATTTTTTACGGACAGCTGTATTTACGCGCTAGTTACCGTTTTCTTCAGAAAAACACTAAATAAAATAATTCTAATAAAATTAAATAAAAATTAAATTCTAAAACGTCAGAAAAGGCGTTTGGCTGCATCATTTAGTAGTGAGGTTAAATATCCTACAGGTGAAATAGCTAGTTAGCTAGCCAGCTCGGCATTTTAGACGTGCGCTTCAGGATAGTTACACGTGGTTTGAGTGTCCTGGGGTGAATAATTGGTGACTTCAGCCATTTTAATGTATATAATTTATCTTTCTCATGTGTTTATTACCAAATAAGACAGAATGCCATGACAATCAATAAATTAAACCAACTAATACTGCATTTCTCGCCTCATTGAACTGGAGATGTTAATGGAAATGAAGATGTGGACAGCAAGCTAGTTATTATGAAACCAAAATATCACAAATACGTCATCGTTTATAAACACAATTTTATTATACATACCGATGCAAGCATTTCCAGAGCAAAATGAAAGAAAAGGCCCTTTTAACACCATATGTCTCGCAGCCGCCATCGCTCCCCTGAGGCTGAAGTAAGCGCAAAAGAGCGCCTTCCGGCTGTCGATGCTCTTTGTACTGGCACCGGAGCATGCGCACGGCGTGCCTTCTGCGTATGCAACGAGCATTGCCGGGTCACTGTGGAAATAATAGCTACTTCGCATCAGCACACCCCAATTCTCTGTGTTGTTGCCCTGGAAGGGGAGATTAATGTCGCCGGAGTAAATGTTTATTAAACCAGGGGGCTGTACTACGAAGCGGGGTTACTGGCTTATCGGGGTAACTTGTCGGATTTAAGGTAGTCTGGGCAAAATGTAAGTGAACGAATATGAAGTTCATTTAAACTGTGGTAGCTTAAATCCGACAAGTTACCCACAAGCCAGTAACCCCGCTTCGTAGTACGGGCCGCTGGTGGTTGTCTGTTTGTCCCAAGAATGCGCTTGAATAATCTTTTTAACTTCAAACCGATTAAGTCTGCTTTGTTGTATGTACATGTGGCTTTTTAAAGTAAATTTGGAGCATGATGTCTTAAATGATGAAATATGCCAACGATTTTTATTTGTATTTTTTTTCGTTGAGTGTACGGCATCCGTAAATTCGACAACAGTTATTTTACTCATTTTTTCAGTCCATGTAGCCTACAGGTTTCAAAACTAGTTTTAAAGGTTTAAAGTTGACCAGTTTAATGTACCATAGTAATTAATTCACCGGATAAATGTAAATAAGACGTAAAAAATAAAGCTAAATTGAAATACATTTTCAGGAAAAAAGTACCAATACTTGTCAATACGTCACAGTCACTGTGGATGTACCCTCAAGGATCTGCCAGTTGTACCCTAGCTGTAGGTAAATGTACCTTTCAAGGTACAGAAATGTACTACTACTTTGAGGAACAATTTTGTACCATTGGGGGTACATTAATGTTGTTTGTACCTTGAGGACCAAAAACAAAACAGGGCTGTACCCATTTTTCTGACAGTGTATAGTTAGGCTACGCCACTACAGGAACTCTGGTAATTGCATTGGTCATTTTCTTTTCATTGATGTGTTTCTTTTTCACCTATAAATCTTTTAGTTACTCGAACAGAGGACTGAACATGAAAATGATAAAAATACACAATACTGTTTGATAAATTAGTTTTTCATATACATTAATACGGTACCATAAAATAGGCCTCCTTTTATAAAAAAAAATGTAATTTTTTTAAGTTTGTCATTTTGTAACGGAAAAATAGGCCTACGTTTTTGACCGAACACATAGATTCGTTTGTAATCTGAAGGGTTCGATCTATTCCCGTAATTTTATTACTTAATAATGTACGTGCAGTGTTTGCAACTTTTCTTGTCACATAATATGGAAATATGGTTACCTAGTGAGAATTTTTTGACATGATTAATGGGCTTTGAGTGAAAGTGCTTCAAATGAAAGTGCAAAACCAGCGTGTCAAACATGAAATGATCATGCCCGTCATCGCTGGAAGGTTAAATTACCAAAACCTACAGAGTTATAGTACATAAAGAGTCCAAAAGAAGTTGAAAATATATACAAACAGTTCATGAAGGTTTATACGATTCACAATACGTAATACGACTGAAATGTCTCGACGCGCGTTTAACTGTAACAAGAATGTGTGTTCATTTCTGCAATTTCTCTATGTTGGCGTTATTACGTCATTATTACATTATTAAACCATAATGTAGCGGAAAAACATCTCAGTTCAAAACTCTTGAAGTGGGAGGTGCCATGCATAGTCATTTCATAAAAATTCAGAAAACGACGTCATCGTTCGCTAACAAAAGTAAGATTTAAACATCAAACATGAAGAGGGCCACATGGTCAAGTTCCAAGTAATTTACGACCGAGAAGCAGGTGGTAGTTGGGTATGGCTCGAGTCCTCCTTTTCACCCAAGTTGTTCAGAAACTTTCCAGTAGCCCCAATGTACAATCTGGATCGCATCGGCCATTTCTGTAAGACAAGATGACAATATATGACAAATCATATAGACCATCATATAATGTGTAAAATATTTCTATTCTGAGTTTTAGAATGTTAGGGCTACTGAGGTTTGGGCGCAATATTTTTCTGGATTATGTATGACACAATATAATATTCCAGTAATAGAAACAAAAAAGTTTTATCGTCAAAAAATGTCTAATTTCGAAATTACTAGGTTAAAAACTTTCACTATAAGCTATGTGTGTAACCTATATTTACGAAACAGACACTGGTTACTCCTGAAATTTTAAAGATATTAAAAAGCTAAGTTCACACTTTCCGATAGATTCTATAGCTATTGTATATCAGTACACATAACAAATTGCTTTTAAAAACAATATTTATAATAAAATTATATGCAACGACATATATGAATGTTTTGGTTCATTATTTGGTTTTGTATTGATAATTGAATAATAATTGATTAAACGACAATTTTCTTTTTAATTATGCATTGTTTTATGTAATATATACAATTGTGTAATATATATTGATTATGTAATATCCACTGTACAGTCTTATGTTTACAACGCGTAGGACGAATAAATGAATACCACTCTATAGCTTACTTACTTTAACTGGGTGCAAATAACCCTCGCCTTTCATGGCGTTTAACACTTCAGTTTGTTTTGTGCTTTCTGCCGCTTGTATTCCATCTTCTTGCAAAGTTCTAGTTAGATGAGCGATGTAGGTGGTGGCCAAAATCAAGACGTCCAGTTTGGATAGTTTGGTGTCTGGTGGTACTGACGGTAGTGTCCTCTGAAGCTCCAAAAAAGCGTGCCGCAGAGTCTGTACTCTGCTCCTTTCCCGGGCTGCGCTAGCCGCAGCTGGGCGTCCTCTGGCACCAAGGCTGCTGGGTTTGATCACCCTGGAACTCGGACTTGAGCTTGGACTTGATGTAGTTGTCTTGTCCATTGTCACCGTGACATTTCCCCCCTATATAACCGATGAATATCTTCCAGTTATAGGAACCAGTTAGTACGAATGAGCTGGAGGATGTGTAAAAACTGTCCTTACTAATTGTGACTAGGACTTAAGTTCTGCTTCCAATGAATACAGCCGGTGCGTCAATGTTTAAGGTATAATATGTTGTTTTGGCGAGATGCCAGTTAATCAGGTTCAGGTACACAGCTTTAAAACGTTTACTGATTTAATTCCCACAGTGAAACATATTGTAAATAAAATAAAATAATCTTATCCTGTTTCTAATTTAGATTGTGTCACATTTAAATAAATATTATATTGAATATTCTTCCTTATGGCGTATGCTTTAATGCTGTCTATTTATAATATGAAAAATTGTTGATCTAACATCTAGAGTTATATGCATACAAACATCTGTATCAACCGAATTTACCTTTTTTCTTTTGTGAAATTTCACGTGTTTTGTTAGACTGATGCAAACCGCGGTCTCTCTCCGGGTGGAAGAATTCTTCACTCAGTTGAACGAAAGTAATCCGTAGCTATATAAGCCAGTGGATGTTGTTAAAGAAAATGCGCTGCTTCTTGGGCTTGCGACGTGAAACTCTCACCTGACTGAAATTACATGCCCCACGAACCCCCGATTTTACGAAAACCCAAAAAGCTGACAGCTACTCACTCCGGTATAATTAATCAAACACGCGAAAATCCCTGGCAACCGGACACAAGCACAGTTTTTCCCTTTAGTTACATATCTCCTGGAAAACGGAAAGCTATATTTCACGATGAAGAAGCAACGCTTTACATTCGTATTCTCTTCTTTTAATACACACCACTGAATAAAAAAGCACAACTTCCACTTACTACATAGGAATCATTCTTTTAAGTTTTCCAGATCTTGGGTAATTTAATGTAATTTCCGGCATTCAAATCAGCCTACCATTTTCCTCTGATTTTATATAATACACTTATTTTACTTTGTCTTGCTCGAAATAGCCTATTAATTTTCAGATTAACTTCATATACATTATCAAGCTGTGACAAAATGGTTAGATGTGGTCGGTATCACGTATTTTCTGCTTGATGTAAAGTTTGATGTAAATAAGCAGCCAATAAATAAGCCCAAACAGTGCAATCAACAGGCCATTTTGAGGAAATACTTGCGAGACTTGTAAATTAATCACTCTGATTTCCAATGTCTGCAAAGCTGATGTTTGCAAATTAACGACTGGAATTATCCGTAGAGCGTCACAGACTGTTTTGTAAGACTGTTTTTGTAAGGATGAAATAACCACGTTGCTCTGGGCCACAAATTATGAATCAAAGCTGAAAAAGCTAGGTAAGTGTATTACACTAATTACTGTATTCTGAATCTTTCCCATAGACCTACTGGTTTGATTTTGAAATACCGCTTTAGGAGCGCAGTGAATATCTTACATAAAATGTAGGCTATTTCTCTTAATGGCGTACCTTTCTGTGGCTCTATTAGTTGTATTGTAGCGTAAAAGGCTAACGATAAAGTGTGCACCCAATAGACAAGGGCATGTTTATATGTCATAATGCATTTTTCTGTGGTGTTCCGGGTAACTTGACAGTGAATGAATTGATGTAATATTCATGGAATTACTATTGTATTGCAGTTGAATGTGAACGGATATGACGGAATAAATATATACGTGACGCACCAAATGCTGGAAAAAAAATCGCAGTCAAAACACTTTGCTATTGTTTATGGGTTTTTAATGTTGTGAAATTAACACAGGCATAATTATTTCGGAAATTGAAATATTTAATTTAACAGAAGGAACGCGACAAATAGATACCATTAGCAGCTTTCTTTATTCGGTATTTTTGAATTATATACTGTAACAAGTAATTCATATAGATTTTATACGAAATTCACACATTCATACACTTTTCCTGATATTTTTCATATTCCTAAGCTCCACTGTCTTGTATGTTGTATTAGTATATTTGAAATGCTACCTGGGTTATTGCAACACGTACAATTCTTGCTTTCATAGAATGTCTTTATTGTCATTGTACATGTAAAACGAAATTCTCACTCAACAAATAAAATTGCCCAAAAACACATATGAATAATGTTAAATAATGTCAAAACAACTTGCTTGACTTTAAGGTAATTATAACAACACAATTTTAAATTCTTTTTGAATTTAACCAGCACATTGACGTGGATATATGTGAACATCCAGTATGTCAGGATAACATACAACATTTCGATTATCAGTACGCTTTCCAGTCCTAGGTGTAAGATTGAAACAAGTGCAGCCATAAATGCCCTCAGCAGTGTATTAAAAACAACTAAGCTTATTTAAACATGAATGTGGGATATATTCGTCAGCACAGAGGCAGTGATCTGTCAACAGTGCCGATATCCATTTTGGCTAAACTTAGCTATACAGCTTTCACAGAGCCATATGGACCCGGATTTGGGGAGAATTGGCGCCTCTGCGTTTGTTGAAAACTTCAGGGTCCGCCGTCTGCTTGACAGAGAACAGCAAACTTGAAAAACCTATTATACAGTTATTCAAACATTTTTACGCGCACACCCACTTATGTAAACTGCTATATTTCCTACTAATTATTACTGAAAATATTGCGTGCTCACGTGCGCTAGTTGCAAAATATACCTTCCTATAATTGCTCACAAATTTGTAAATTATGATTTACTGTAGGCAGTAGTCATTTTCTCCGCCCAGTTCTGTTTAATATCTGTGTGCTGCTCTTTGCCTTTCTAAATAACTTCTAAATAACAATGCGCAAGTGGGGTTGGTGTTTTAAAGGAAGTCATGGTCCTGATAAGTGTGACTATTTGCAGACTCATACTGAATGAATAAAGCTTTTACGATGAGTAATGAAGGATAAACTGCAACAGGCTTTAGATTATTTTTCTGACCATGTAAAAGACCAGTTTGCTTTGAAGAATCATACACCTGCTTTGATGAATTATATGAGTAATATTGTTTAGGTAGACAGGGAAATCAAATCCCAGATCTGAACCAATAAGACCCCTGACCATTTCAGCTGGGGCTGTGTAACTGATCCTACATTCTGACATTACTTAAGTGTAATAACTTTGGTGTCACTAAGTATTAGACCTATTGGTATAATACGATATTTATGGTACAGTCCAGTGTCAGTCAAAAATAGAGGGGAAATTTAGTGGGTTATACTATGGCGTCTTAACGAAAGTATTAAATATATACATAAACTTTAACTGGCCTTTGCAAAATCATAGATCATGTCACAGATGGTGACCGGTGATCAAGTTTTAAAGCAGCGCGAATGTACTACGACAGCTGGCAAGAGCGGTACACAAAACAGGTGGAAACGGGGGGAATGGCGAATATGTGCTAATAGGAAGATCCAAGGGATGAGGCAGAGAAGGTCATAATGCATATTATGAGTCATTGATTAGGTTTAAAATCAATGGGAAAATATATTTTACAAACACACTTCCGTGGATGAAAAGAAATACACGTAAAGATCTAATATTGATTACCGAAGCGCCAGCGTTAGACTCCAGACTAAGTATGACCAGGATGAGGAGTTGACAGAAAGAGATGCTGCGTTTTGGGGCAAACACGGATCTGGAGATTATGCAAAGATAGTGCAGTCATACTAGACTACTCGGCAAGTACTTTTACTTTGTTCAATACAACAGGCAGGGGCGGATTAAGGTGTACAGAGGCCCCTAGGCTACAGTAGTCTGTGGGCCCCCCAACCCCACCCCCCTCCGCGCCAATGGGGGCCCCCTTGCAGGCTGGCACACGTGGGGCCCCTAGGCTTAAGCCATATCTAGCCTGTGCGTTAATCCGCCCCTGACAATAGGTACGGTAACCTGAAGTCACATATAATTATGTAAGCGCTGAAACCATAATAACCAAACTACTAGGTCTACTACTGCTACAACTACTAAATAATAACAATAATAATAATGATG